AGTCCCACGTCGGGCTCCTGCATGGAGCCTGCTTCTCCCTCTGCCTGTGTCTCTCATGAATAAATAAATAAAATCTTAAAATAAATAAAAAATAAATAAAAATTAATATAGCATCAGGCTCAGATGAAGGGAAGAAAAAGACTTTTTTAATGAATAACACAATACTGAGAAATTACTGAAGACAAGAAAACAGGGCTTTGGAATGGGATCAATTTGCATTTGAATCTTAACTCCATCTGCTTTACTTTGTCTTGGGTAAAACACATAATCCCTTTGAGCCCAGGAAAAAAGGGGGGAAAAAGCCTCCTTTATTTCTCATCTTGCATTGCTTGAGGAAAGGAATAATCTTTTCACCATCTGTATTTCAGTATAGCTAGAAAATAATCTTGACAAATGAATTTCAAGTAAAAAAGTCAAGACTCCTTTCTTCTTTAGAAGCCATACAAATCATTTAGTATTTGTAAGATCTCTTGCTTTTCCAATAATTCAGCTCCACACTCAAGGTTACTTACAGGATTCCTAAAGAACTTGGGACTGACCAAGCATAGTAATAATGTTTTTCATTTATCTTTGAGTTTCTTTTTCAAAGTCAAAACCAAGACTTTTGAAAGACGAAGTTTTATACAAAAAGATTTAGACCTGTCCTGATCCACAATTCTTACATATATAAGTAATCTTTAAGTCTAATTATGATTAGACCATTTGGGTATCAAGGAGATGTTAGTGGCACCAGAGTAGCCTTCTAATCCCTGGTGGAGGAATCAAAAGACATAAGCCAAAACAAGTGGGAATTCTGCTACAGGATTAATGCTGACCTCTCATTAAGTAGCATACAAAGTGGTGGCTCATGTCAGCTCTTTTACAGAAAAGAAAAGCTGTGAAAAGCTGAACATTATCTTTACAAGTCTTTTACTTTATTTTTATAAAGACTTAAAGATTTGAATGTTCAATGATATTTAAAACTACCTTTACCAAAGGGTAGTACCAGGATCACATTGTTTGCATAGCACTAACAGGTGACATGCATATTTATTCCCTGCCCTCTCAGGACCATCTTCCCATCCCCCTCTACCAAATACAAAGTTTTCAGCTCTTCCAGCTACAGTTAGGACATCTTTTCCAAAAAGTCTCTGGGAATGATCCAGGGTTGTTTTCAGTAACTGGGAGAAACTGTCATAAAGAACATGATTATAAAAATCCTGGGGCACCTGGGTAGCTCAGTCAGTTAAGTGTCTGATTTTAAGCTCAGGTCATGATCTCAAAGTCCTGAGATTGAGCCCCCCACATCAGGCTCCCTGCTCAGGGGGGAGTCTGCCTCTCTCCATCTGCTTCTCCCCCAGCTCATGCTCTATCTCCCTCTCCCTCTCAAATAAATATATTTTTTAAAGATTTTGGGGATCCCTGGGTGGCGCAGCAGTTTAGTGCCTGCCTTTGGCCCAGGGCGCGATACTGGAGACCCGGGATCGAATCCCACATCGGGCTCCATGCATGGAGCCTGCTTCTCCCTCTGCCTATGTCTCTGCCTCTCTCTCTCTGTGTCTCTCTGTGACTATCATAAATGAAAAAAAAATTAAAGATTTTATTTATTTATTCATGAGAGAGAGAGAGAGGCAGAAACAGGCAGAGGGAGAAGCAGGCTCTCTGTGGGGAGCCTGATGCAGGATTCAATCCTGGAACCTGGGATCACACACCGGACTGAAGGTGGCACTAAACCACTGAGCCACCAGGGCTGCCCTATCATGAGCTTTCCTGATCCAAGGACTGCAGCAACTCCAAGACAGGACAGAGTTGAGAGAGAGAGAGAGAGAGGCAGAGACACAGGCAGAGGGAGAAGCAGGCTCCAGGCACCGGGAGCCCGACGTGGGACTCGATCCCGGGTCTCCAGGATCGTGCCCTGGGCCAAAGGCAGGCGCCAAACCGCTGAGCCACCCAGGGATCCCCAGGACAGAGTTATTAACCTTTGGTTCTAAGTGTCCATATCCAATCATTCTTTTTTTTTTTTTTTAAGATTTTTAAAGAATTTTTAAATGTATTTATTTTGAGTAACTCCTACAGCCAACGTGGGGATCAAACTCATGATGCCAAGATCAAGAGTCACCTGCCCTGAGTGAGCCACCCAGGCACTCCATGTTATACCAACATGTAGAGAGAATCACTTTTTTTAAAAAAAGATTTTATTTATTTATTCATAGGAGACACAGAGAAAGAGAAGCAGAGACATAGGTAGAGGGAGAAGCAGCTCCATGCAGGGAGCCCGACGTGGGACTCAATCCTGGATCCCAGGATCACGCCTGAGCAAAAAGCAGATGTTCAACCACTGAGCCACCTAGGCGTCCTGAGAAATCACTTTTTTAAAAGATTTTTATTTTGGGGGGACCTGGGTGGCTCAGTCAATTAAGCGTCTGACTTTAGCTCAGGTCATGATCTTGGCTTCCTGGGATCAAGCCCCATTTGGGCTCTCTGCTTGCAGGGAACCTGTTTCTCCCTCTCCCTCTGCCTGCCGATCCCCCTGTTTGTGCTCTCTCTTGCTCTCAAATAAAGTCTTTTAAAAAATAAAGTGAAATAAAACAAAAGACTTTCATTTTTTTAAAGTCTCTATACCAACATGGGGCTCAAACTCCCAACATCATGCTCCACCAACTGAGCCTACCCCTAGAAAACTATAAATCATATAATAGGTCTATCAACTAAAACTACATGGCTTACAGCACAACCAGCTATACAGAATATAGTAGAAAACACAGTTAATTCATTCATGGAAATCTAGCCTTAGATAGCACAAACAGTTGCCAAATTTCCCTACTGCTAATTTGGGCCAGTGAGCATAAAATTCAACAGATTTGTTTAAAAGTATACTTTTGGAGGAAATGCTAAAGAAAATGAAGAAAAGACTGAAAAAAGGATAGAGAAATTCATATATTTAAAAGGGAGTCGGGGCAGCCCAGGCGGCTCAGCGGTTTAGTGCCACCTTCAGCCCAGGGCGTGATCCTAGAGACCCAGGATCAAGTCCCATATCCGGCTCCCTGCATAGAGCCTGCTTCTCCCTCTGTGTCTCTGCCTCTCTCTCTCTCTCTCTCTCTGTCTCTAATGAATAAATAAAAATATTTAAACAAAAAAATAAAAATAAAATAAAAGGGGGTCAACTCCACCTATAACAAATACCAAAAATTCTGCTCTCAAAGACTGATACAGGAAGAAAAAATCTAGATAGCTGAAATCACACTTTCTGTTAGGCTTTTATCTTTCAGTATTAAAAGAAGTATCTTATGGAAAATAAATAACCCAAATTAAAACATTCAAAAATGTTAAATATTCTCAAGAAAACACATTACCCCATAGCTTGAGTTACAGATTCACAAAAAGGCTGACATGATTTTTCAATTAAAATAAACGACAAAGGTTATACCATATTTATTATTAAGACTAACCTTCTAAACTCATATATATAAAAATATTACCACATATAAATTGTAGTAAATGTATGTAAATTCAAACTCATATGTGTAAAAATGCTATCACATATATTAAGCTAATTTTTATATTTAAAATAATCATTTTTCTCTTGCAAGCAGCAATTACCTTCTGATATGGTTCTTACTCAGCTGAGCTAAAGGATGGAAGAAAGTAGCACCAGCATGTACATAATAAAGCTGATAAAAGAGAATGCCAGAATTATAGAAAAACGGTGAGGTACAGAGGGATGAGAAACAAAGTCCAGTATCTTTTCATTTAGACCAAAATCTTCAAAGGAATAAAATTATAGGTTATCAATCTAGCAATTTATTTGATACTCAATCTAAGCCATTTCAGTAACCTTCATGTTTTTTAAGATTTTATTTATTTATTCATGAGAGATAGAGAGAGAGAGAGAGAGAGAGAGAGGCAGAGACACAGGCAGAGGGAGAAGCAGGCTCCATGCAGGGAGCCCGACGTGGCACTCGATCCCAGGACTCCAGGATCATGCCCTGGGCCAAAGGTAGGTGCTAAACTGCTGAGCCACCCAGGGATCCCCAGTAACCTTCATGTATTGAATTAAAAACCAGACCCCCCCCACACACACACACAGGGTGACAGATGGTAGCAAGCATAGCATAATGAATAAACTTGTGGACTCACTATGTGTATACCTACAACTAATATAACATTGCATGTCAACTACATTCAAATAAAAACTAAAACTAAAAACTAAAAACATCAGGCCTAGGGCAGCCTGGGTAGCTCAGCGGTTTAGCGCCGCCTTTAGCCCAGGGCCTGATCCTGGGGACCTGGGATCGAGTACCACGTCGGGCTCCCTGCATGGAGCCCGCTTCTCCCTCTGCCTGTGTCTCTGCCTCTCTCTCTCTCTCTCTCTCTCTCTCTCTCTGTATCTCTCATGATTAAATAAAAAAATCTTAAAAAAAAAAAAAACAACAAAAACATCAGGCCTCTTTCAAGACCCCTTTGGTAAAGACGATCCACAATAAATAACGTCATCTGGTCAATGGGAGAATAATTTTGCAAAACAAACTCTCTCCTCTCAGCCCTAACCTACCTTTTATGAAAGATTCCATTAAAATGGTGCATTATTTATAGAAGAATGGGGTGGGGAAGGGCGAATCCACTTTATTTTATTTTATTTTTCTGAAAATTTTATTTATTCATGAGAGACACAGAAAGAGACAGAGAGAGAGAGAGAGAGAGAGAGAAAGAGAGAGGCAGAGAAACAGGCAGAGGAAGAAGTAGACTCCCCCAGGGAGCCCAATGTGGGACTTGATCCCAGAGCCTGGGATCACGACCTGAGCTGGGAGGCAGAAGCTCAACCACTGAGCCACCCAGGTGCCCCTGAATTCACTTTATAATGCAGAAATCAGCATGTTTAGATGAAATTCTACATGAGAGAATGGGAGTTTTTTCTCTATTTACCTTAATATTTAGTTGGATACAATTTTGAATATTGAGGAATGAAATAATAAACTATGATACATATATTATTAGTAAGGTAATTAAGAAATATAACTCACCATTTTTTAGGCTTTGACAATGGTTTATATTTGCTGTATTTTACACGCCATTCAAGAACTTCTTTACAGCGCTGACAAACTCCATCATGAAGCTTTGCATTAATTTTCTTAAACAGAAAAACAAAGTTGGAATTTCACCTGTGAGCCAGCATTGCAAACCCATGAAAACTGCACATGAGAAATTTAAGTTTTTAAAAATAGTAACATAATTGAATCTGTGTAACATTCTATGATACACTATATATTTTTATATGCATTACTCAAGTTGGTTCTCTACAAAGGCAAAGATTCTTAACTAGATGTAGCTCAGAATCATCCAGGAAACTTTTTAACCTCTTGGCAAGAGCATTTTAGATAGCCCTCCTCATTGATTCTGATGTGCACAAATGTTAAAATTCAAATTTATATAGTCAAGATATGTGCATTTTACTGTATGTAGGTAATAATAGGGAAGAAATAACAATGCAATAATAAAGTAGAAAACCTAATGCATATTTTAAGACTACTGTTTCCAACAATTCAAATCTTACCAATGAGAAATGAGAAAATACACTGAGAAATTATAGTCCTAAATTGTCAGTCTCTAGGGGAGAGCAGAAATTATGACACCTGAGAAAGGAGCGTCAGGGAGAAGCAGCTGGAAGCAAAAAGGCATTTAATTCTTTAATTTAATATTTTTGTATTTTTAAAAAGACTTTGGGTTTTTTTTAAAGGATTTTATTAATTTATTTGACAGAGAGAGAGCAAGCAGGGGGAGTGGCAGGCAGAAGGAGAGGGAGAAGCAGGCTCCCCACTGAGCAGGGAGCCCAACTGGGGGGTGGGGGGTGGTGGCTAGATCCCAGGACCCCAGCATCACAACCCAAGCTTAAGGCAGATGCCTAACAGACTGAGCAACACAGGCACCCCAACATTTTTTTTACCCCAACATTTGTATATTCTTACGTGAAGAAAAAATGTTATAAAAAATGTTGCTAATCTGATTTCTTCAAAACAAAATAAATGTGTGCATGGAAATATCTGTGCTGGGGAAAGGGATTTATGAAAGAAAAAAACATTTATTATGATTTTCTTCTCAAAATGTATTGGGGAATTAGGAGAATGAAAAAAATATAAACATGTCATGTGTTTTCCCCAATAGTTTTATATTCTATAACATATTCATGTGATTCAGGACCCAGAGTACTTATTTTCACTAAGTTCTCTGAGAATTCTTTAATTTACTTTGGCCATAAAAGCCTGGTCTTTCTTGGCCTATTGTCAGAATAATGAGAAGACGACATTTTATGTTTTCTTTGCTTCCTTTGTTTCCTTTTTTTAATTTCTCAAGAGGTGAAAGAAAAGGATCACAAAAGATGCAGATTCTTTGGGAGGTTATCAGATGCTGAGTTAAAAGTACAACATTTAAGGATCTGAAAAAAAAATCTGAAACTTTTGAACTGTGCTTGATATTCTTTAAAGTTTTAAACAAGAAGGTAAAATAATTTGACAAAACATTTATTCAAAGAGAAAATATTTCAAGGGTGTTTTCAAGCCACAAAGTAAGCTGTGGATATATTATGTTTGATTTTACTTCTGTGGTAAAACACATATTCTGTTATTTATGAATTGTGTATGGGTATTCCTTTCTCCCTGACTTAAATGGAGAGTTCCTGGGAAAATAAATTCTACATGACACTATATTCCTTCCTATAGTGGTCTGCTGTTGCCAGAAAGAGGGAAATCTGTGTCCAATACCAAACTCCTCTTCTTATCAAACTTGATACTTAGTTATCCCATATAAGACTTGCTAAGAAATACCCAGAACTAAAGTTCACATTTCATCATTTGTTCTCATTGCTTTCTATTGCTTAGAATATCTTACTAAAAGCATTACTTGTATTTTCCTAACTCTAACAGTAATGGGAACAAGCTAACAACTTGAACTATGATTACAAGATAAATGTGATATGAACTTTCTTAATAAAATATTCTTAGAATGCAAAACATTTTGCTACTTGCAATTTTATTATATATAACACATTCTGCTCGTTAACTAGGAAGCATTATTTGGTTTCTTGTTTGTTTCTGTATCCAATTTCTGAGCACCAGTTCATCTTGATTTACAAAGCTGCACATAGCGTGGAAACTGGTTTCTTTGGGGTGGATTGGACAGTAGAACAAAACCGGTCTTTGTGGAAACTTGTTCTGTGAGTGGCGTGTGAAGCAGTATAAATGGAGATGTTGTAGAGAGTTCACATGACTAACAGGCACTACTACAAAATTGAACTTGATTTTGATGTGTTAAGAAATGAGAGTAACAATGAAAATGAATGGTACTCTCCACTTAAAAAGAACTGCAAAAAGAAAGAAAACTGTGCACCTTGCCTTATTGTATTTTGGCAATCTAGAAAAAGTGAATTCCAGAGATGTGAGCAATGAAAACTAAATCCTAGTTCTAGGAATCATTCTGCCCCAAGCAAAGAAGATTGCAATCTTACCTTACTCACACCTATGTTTACAACTAACCCAGTTTTGGCAATTAATTTTAGCATATTCCTCCTCGTAGAAATAATAGGTTATTAAGGTTAAGATTTAAGCATGTCCAAATATAAAATCAAAACTTAGTTTCATAAATACAAAAGCTTTTAAAGATCATTCTTTAAAGCTACTTTGCAGAACTTTATTTTTCTTTTAAGATTTTATTTATTTCTTCATGAGAGACACAGAGAGAAGCAGAGACCCAGGCAGAGGGAGAAGCAGGCTCCATGTAGGGAGCCCGACGTGGGACTTGATCCCAGGTCTCCAGGATCATGCCCTGGGCCAAAGGCAGCGCTAAACTGCAGAGCCACCCGCTGCCCTACTTTCTAGAACTTTAAAGGAAAAAAGCTTCAGAGTAAGATTCCACTGAACTTAGGAATTCTTTTTTAAAGATTTTATTTATTTGACAGAGAGCGAGAGCACCCGCACAAGCAGGGGGAGCAGCAGGTAGAGGGAGAGGAGAAAGCAGACTCTGGGCTGTGCAGGGAGCTGGATGCGGGGCTCGATCCCACCACCCTGAGATCATGACGACCTGAACTGAAGGAAGATACTTAACTGGCTGAGCCACCCAGGTATCCCATGAACCTAGGAATCTTAATTAAATAAGAAAACCTTATTTATAAATTGAACACTTTTAAGTTAGAATAAACAGGGTGTGTCAAAAGAACCATTTACTTAATATATATGTAAAGTCTTAGCCATCCTTGACTCATATAACATATTTTATAGTAAATGTTGTTATTCCTGCTGTTAACATTCTGTTGTCAGACAATTCATCTTTTGTGATGTAATGCGGCAATCTCAAGAAATTAGGTGAGGACTTTACCACCCAAGAGCCAAACTGTAAATATAATATCTGTATCAACAGGCTGATACTGAAAAATACGTTATAAAATATAAAGTATGTTTTAACGGAAAGAAGATACTATTATGGGGGAAAGAAATTTGAATACTACTCAAGAAAAACTAATAATTTTTCATTAGGATTTTTTTTTTGTACATCATATTCCCTTCAGAAATGCTAATAGCAAACAGTGGCATATTTTGCTTCCCTTCATTAATTGGGGAAAAAAAGGAATTATAAAAATTAAAGTCAAGGAAAATGACAATTCTAACAGCTGCTGAAAATCCATTTCCAAGAAATGGCTTGCTCTTCCCCTTGCTTCATCCTTTCCTCCAAAATAAGGTTTTGGGGGATGCCGGGGTGGCTCAGCAGTCGAGTGCCTGCCTTCGGCCCAGGGCATGATCCTGGGGTTTCGGGATCGAGTCCCACATTGGGCTCCTTGCATAGAGCCCTCTTCTCCCTATGCCTATGTCTCTGCCTCTCTCTCTGTGTGTCTCTCATGAATAAATAAATAAAATCTTTAAAAAAAATAAGGTTTTGGGGCTAATATAGCTATAACAGTATTACCCCAGAAAATAGATATGTATGTCCTATTTATATTTAAAAGTATATATTTTTTAAATTTTCTAGTAATACCCCCTTATTATAAATTTGGTTAGAGGATAAAGGATCTCTAGATTTGAGAGCAAGAACTTATATGATTAATAACAATAACATAAAAATCTTTTAGGTTGTGACTTTCAAACTATAAACTCTTTTGTTTTAAATCCTTTTAATATGGCCAGAACATTGTTGGGCATCTTCAGAATCAACACAACCAAAAATAGATGAGGGAATCAGATTGAAGGCAAAGTGAGGGTGCAGGGAAAATGATGAAGCACTCAGGAGTGCAGCTGAGAAGTGCACTTGCTAGAGATGGAACCACAAGTGAGATCCATGCTTTCTAGCAGCCAGTAAAAAATGAGCTCCACTCCCTTACCTGCTTCAATGCTTGTAATATGCCCAAAAGCCAGTTTCTCAGTAGTATAACTATTCTGGTGACTAAAACCCAAAGTCTAGTCTTTCCCAAAAAGGATCTCCTATGATACAGTAAGCCATGCTTTCAACAACACCCTTATGATATAAAGCATTTCACAGAGCTGTTTTCTACCAGGGTTCTCCAAGTAGTCTGGTGTTACATAATGTCAAATACAGTGTGGTAAAAGTTACTCTCAAGGGTACAATGTAGGTACATATGCCTGATATTAATAGAATCTACAGGAATGCACCCCACATAATAAGGTCATCAGAAATAGTATTTCTCTTAACTAAGTTCTAAAAACATTCACCTCTATTATGAAAAATTTCAAACATGCAGAAAAGAGTTCAAACAATACTAATACATAGCCATATATACATTATCTAGAGACAACTGTTAACATTTTTTAACCTATTTGTTTTCTCTGTGTGTGTACACTTAAAGTTGCAGATATCAGGACTCTTTACCTCCTAATCATATGTATCCTAGAAATCTTTTCCTCTAATTAACTACATTACTGTTACACTTTAAAAAAAAAAAAAAAAGAAAAATAACCCTCATCATTGAATGTAGCTGGTCTGTATTGAAATTCCCTCACCTTTCTCCTGCCCTCTAAATCAGTATTCAAGTACTATTTGACAGTTATATCTCTTTTGTTCTACAAGAATTCCCCCCCCCTTTTTTTTCTTTTTTGAGTGAGAGAGAGAGAGAGAGAGAGAGAGAGAGAG